TCACACTCGGGTCTCTCTTATTTTCCCTTCCCGTACGTCCCTGGACACGCGAGAAACAGGCACAGCAGACAGCCACCAAGGGCTTGGGTCTCCTGTCGCTTCTGAGGTCTTGGGATGCCTCCAGTGCGTCCATTCCGAGTGGCATGCAGCCACCCGTTTCTAGAGACACCTGCATCGCGGATCTTCGAGATGCCCAGTCTGGACTCGGGCACACTCCGAATGTCAACGTTACCCTACAGATGCAGATACCAGACCTGTCGACTGTCACCATATTCATTAGTGATTCGACAACCGACACCTCGACAGCTCATCTCCCCGCTCTTGCGCTATCGCGGTTAAGCTAAAAAGACTCCAGGGATACCGAGTCAAACCCCCACAGCGTTCAGTCCCTAGCCAAGGGTCCATGGAGTGATGGGGGCTGTGCAGCAAATGTTGTGTTCACAAGACAAGCTCAGTCTTAATCACTCACTGTATCTACAACACTTGGAGTTTACGGTTCGATAATAGGCTTGGGGGCGGCGCCTCCTTGGACCACTTGCGATGCTATCAAACCAAGGTTCGCGCTTCTATCCGAAATTTCTTCTGACCATGTTGTCGGCAGGTTGCAGTGTAATCTGAAAGACCGAAGCTTGTGTTCCTGGTCTTGGCTGAGCAACGCCTCCAACCCCCGGCATCATATCATCTGGGGCTGGGGCTTGGCTTTGGAGGGGAGTTCACCCATGATGCGAGCCCGCCGCCCCTCTCAACGAACCGCAGCGATGGCGGCGCCAACTCAGCAGAAAACCTGCCTTGATCTAGGAGTTCATGCTATGACATACCGGCCGGATGAATAGGGGCAAGGCATTCCGTCACCCCGTGCGAGATTGATCGCGGGATGGGGTCCCGAAAAGCCTCAGTCACGGCTCGCCTTCGAAGCTTGAACTTTGCTATGCCAGCTCAGCCCGCGCCGGCACACGAGTCGGCCTACGAATTTTGTCTTCGCTCAGCCAGCTCTGCGCCAAATTGCACCGAGTCTCAGCCCCTTCCCTACGCCGCTGGTCAGAGACATTTACCAGTGCACACGCTCGTCTGATCCTTAGCAGAGGGACAATCAGCCACAATGGATATCGAGGTTCTATCCGCAGAGCCCAGAGGACAGCAGACGAACAAGATGGAATTTGCCTTCAGCATTCAACACGGCCCGGCCGCTGATCGTTGCAACGGCAGCAGCACCCATTCTGTGACCATGTTCGCCAATGTTTCAACCCGATCGCCCCGACACGCCGCAGAAACGCTCCCCTCTCTCTCTGATTGACACGGAAGATTACGGTCCTGCTGTACGGTCAGCAAATATCCTTCTGGCGATCTGGAAACGAGGCTGTGCAAAACACCAAGACTTTCCACCTGCCAGATTGATGTTTCGTGCTGCAATCGGCTTCCCCAGACACCGTTCTAGGCCAAGACATGCATGCTCTTTTTCTGCATTTCGCTGCACCTCCGACACTCTGTCTTTTCACTGGCGCCATTCCAGATAATACCGGCTGCCGATTGCCTAGTTGGGCAAGTTGCACCTATAGCAAAGAGTCTTCGTTTCTCAACTCGCTTGCACGACAGTCAACGATCGACCAAGTCGTCTCCTACGGCCCCGAAAGAGTACTTTTGCAACTGCTGACCTGCAGGGCCTCAAGTTCATGGTTCCGACCGTAACCTTAGGTACCGTTTGTTGCGATCCTGCGGCACCAGGACGTCTATAGAGTAGTGTACTCATAAGCTTGATATGCCTTGCACCTTATCTCCCGGAAGAACGGGGGCTTCCTTGCACCAAAGACATTGTCTGCTCAGAGAGATTACCGCTTGATAAACTTTGCTGCCGAGTCGGACCTGAAGCGATGGCAAACTCATCTCATCCGTTCGGACAACATTACAAGGAACTCGCTTGCGAGAGGGGGAAATCAGCATTGAGGAAAATTTTTGCAACAATCACAGCTTGGTCTGATGCAACGAACGACGAGAGCTCGACAAGGGTACGTGGGCTGTGTAGTTTAACTGTCTAACAATCGAGCAAAACCTCTCTCCCCTCCACCACCATTGGTACTGTAGGCCGGCTCAAGTCTCATGTTTTTTGTGACAATGCGAGCGCGAGGATTGGCTAGAAATCTTTTGTGAAGAAAAGAAGAAGAAAGCCTTGAAACTGACTTTTTGCACGACCGTCCCAAGTTTCTTGGTGATGGGACGACGGGTCGATGGTCTACTCCATCTTCCCGAAGACTAATGCGCTCGTGCTGCTGCGCGCGAGCTTTATGTGTGAAGGTTTTGCGCATGATACAACCGATCTGCAACCCCGGCGTCACTGCTTCAGAATTTTATTTTCTTGCTTCATTCCCGAACCGGCGGAGTTGAGCTCCCGCAATCAGAGCAAGCATGATTACAATCGTCTGGGGAGCAGCAGCAGCAGCAGCAGCAGCAAGATCTTCTCTTCCTTTGTTCCGAGATGCTCGGACGCTTGACAGAGCGGTCCATGATCCACTGCTGACTTTCAACGGTTCTCTGCTGCTGCTTTCTTTTTCTTCTTCTTCCCGTTGGTCTGATGTTTCGTATGCATACATCACACGGTTGCTTCAGAATCATAGCTTCCGAGGAACACAGCACATCACATCTGCAAGACGACGGGATCAAAGGAAATCCCGAGGTCCCGTAACTTTTCACCCTGAAGTTCTAGTATTTTGATTCATGGCTCTACTCAGCCTTCACAAACGCCAAGCTTGAGCTCAGTCCGTCCTTTTTTTGGGGTGGTTCTTGATAGTACAATGTAGTTGATATGATACACGACCGTGACGGCCTCTTCTTCTACACAGGCACATGGCCAGGGCGCAAGCTAAAAGCTTAGCAGCACCCGTCTCACGACAACCCCTCAGGCAGAGACGTATAACTTACGCCGGGGTTCTAGTACGCTAGAATGATGCCATGCAGTCATGATGGCATGCCGAATGTGGACTTACTCACCGCCATCGGATTGAGAAGCCCTCGTCCCATCTTCAAGATGAGGGAATAACAAGTTGTTGGCAGCACAGCCCCCTTTTACCCCTCAAACTATGCCAAACGTTGAACAACTGCTTGCACAGTGTTTGTTTGCCTTTTTTTTTCTTCTGTCTTCCCCTACCGGATCTCGACGCCTAGCTTTTCGACCAATCTCCGGGTCACCTCGCTGTGCAGCTCATTGGTCTCCTCGTTGGTCAGGGTCCGCTCGAGACTTCGGTAGTTGATGCGGTAGCACATGCTACGTCGCCCCGTCTTGGGGTGCGTGAACTCGTCCACCAGCCGGACGTCCTCGGCCTGCTCGCCGGCGATGTCGCGGACCAGCTCCATGAAATCGTTTTCGTGGAAGTCCTGCGTGTTGGCCTTCGTGTTGCCGCCTGCTGCCGAGGAGGTGCTCCCGAGCCAAAAGGAGACGTCCTTGGGGCAGGCCGGGTGCTTTGAAAAGGGCACGAAGCGCTTCATGCTATCGAGCTGGTCCGAGACGCCCCGGAACTGGCTCAGGAACCGCTCGTCCTTGGACCAGAAGAGGCGGATGTCGGGGATCTGGAAGAGGAGCATGGCGATGCGCTCGAGGCCGATGCCAAAGGCCCAGCCGACCTGCTGCGGCACGCCGGCGTTGATGGCGATGTCCTGCTTTACCACGCCGCAGCCCAGCACCTCTAGCCAGTCGCCTGCATAGTAGACCTCGAGCTCCCACGAGGGGCTCGTAAAGGGGAAGTACGCCTCGACCCAGCGGACACGCAGGGGTTCGTCCTTGAAATCCGGGTCCGCCTTCGCCGCGGCGGCTTTCGCTCTCGTGAAGATCTCGACCACCATGTTCTCGAGCGAGCGCTTCAGGTGGGCGCCGATGGCCTCGGCCTCGGCGGGGGAGTGGTGACCTTCCTGCAGGGGGTTCCGCTCCGCATCGTAGGCCGGATGCGGGTCCTCGACTTTCACGTTGTGCTTCGGCAGCCTGTCGAGGTCCTCCCAGACGGCGGCGGCGATGTCGCCGTTAGGCACCTTTGTCCTGTCCCACATGCGGGCGCCTTCCATCTGGTGGAAGACGGGGTAGTGGCTCCTGTCGATGGCGTCGCGGCGGTAGACGTCTGCGCTGATGAGGTAGCCCTCGCTCAGGTTCTTTTGGAAAGTCTGCGCCTGGTGGGCGCTCGTGTGCGTGCGGAGGAGGGTGTCCTTGTTGAAGTAGTAGGTGTCTGATTTCGCGCGGCCGGGGTGGTCCAAGGGGAACCCGAGCGAATCAAAGTTCTGGTGCGTCGTGACGACGGGGTCAAAGGTGTTGTGGTACTTGTATGTTGGCGCCGGGAACTGCGACTCGATGATTTGCCGCGTGATGTAGACGGGGTGATCTTTTTGGAGGTGGAGCTTGCGCGAGGCGGCGTCGAGGACGTTTGTCGGGACGTTGAACCAGGTGTCTGTCGGTATCGTTTGGCCGTTGACCTCGACGGTCTTTTTCTGGTCTAGGGTTCTTGAAATCGCCGAGGGTTCTGTGATATTTGTTTGTTTAGGTTAAAGGGATCACCAAGGACCAATTGATTGTGATCTAACCTGAGGAGTAGCTGCGCCGGCTACCGCTCATCGACAATGAAGCGATGGCCTGCCATTGTCGGGGAGCTCTCGCGGCGCAGGTGGCGCCACGGAAGCAACTTTGCAATTGCCTACCGGCTAATCTTGGGACGAGCATTTTGAAGTTGTGAACACCCTTGTCCGTATGCAAAGGCCCTTTTTCTATGTGCTCATCACAGGCGTAGAGCTTCGATGTAGTGCTGCGACAAGAGCTGCCGTTAGGAAAAGGGAGCTTTCGCAGCAGTTGGTCGAAAAAGTGTCGATCACCAGAAGTCTAACAAAAGCTACGGGATGCACGGGCCAAGCCAATTGGCATTGCGACCCGGGGCGGGCACACGGCGCCAGACCCTGCCGACTCCCCCCGGAGCAAGGGTCCGGAGACGCCCTTCATTAGCGCATGGCACCCTGGCTTCGCTGCAGGCCCAATGACGCACCCAAAAAATCGAAGCAGCAGGTTCTGTTGTTGTCTATTGGTGGTGGTGGTTCCCTCTGAAAGGGGACTTGATCAATCAGCAAATCTCCCTTTTTGCTTTCGTTCCCTTGAGCCGACTCGAAGCGCGTCCCTCGTTCAGCCGAATCGGTGTTAATTAAGGTAAATAAAAAAAGATAACGACAAAAAAAAAGTTCGCGATAAACCGAGCCGATCTCCAATTCCTCGGCTTCTTCCATTCCTCCCACCACCTGCATACCCCAAAACAGCGACCAAAAAAAAGAAGGCCTCCTGCACGACCACACCACCCTCTTCCCCGAAGTCGGCTTTATAACAAAAAAAGACGTCACTCGACCGCAACGACCGAAAAGTGACGTCCCAGCAACATACGCTACTCAGCTGATAGTTGCCGACACGAGAGAGAGGGGAACCAGGCAATCTTGGACATAACTCACCTTAAATCCGAGAAAGGTCGTCCGTTTGTGCTTCTTCACTTACGGATCCTTTGTCATTTTCGCGACGCAGTGTTCAATTGCGCCGCAACGGGATGAGCTTATCATAGGGAACTGCGCAACACCCTGCAACGATGCAGTCCGCCGCCGCCGCCAACATGGTCGCCAGTAAATCGACCGACGAGCCGTCCGGGCCGCCGTCGTCGTCGCAGCCCTCGCCGTTGAAGTTGGGCCAGGTCGAGGGGGCTCAGGAGAAGCAGCAGTCAAAAGCGCAACCGACGGCTACGGCGACGACGCCGGCGCCTCAAAAGCAGAAGAAGACGGCGGAACCATCGCTGAGGTATCCTTTTTGGTTCGGAGGCAGCGCCAGTAGTATGGCCGCCTGCGTGACCCATCCCCTGGATTTGGGTAAGTTCTACCAACCTTGATCTCGAGATATGGCGCGCGAGAGAGCCTGCGATATTACAAACATCGGAGTGAGCCAAGAGCTGACAATGTCTCACAGTTAAGGTAATGCGCTCCCACTTCTACAACACACCAGCGAATGAAACCCTCGATTCATGGTAGCAAACTCAAGCTCTCTTAAGAGCCGTAGCAAACAACGACACAACTACGTCGCTCCCAAAGCAAGAACTTACTTACTTACACAATGCCACCCTCCTCTAGGTCCGCCTCCAGGTCCGCCGCCCCGACGCGCCAAAGAACATGGTCGGCACCTTCACCCACATCATCCGCAACCACGGCGTGACAGGTCTCTACAACGGCCTCTCGGCCTCCCTCCTCCGCCAGATGACCTACTCCACCGTCCGCTTCGGCGCCTACGAGGAGATGAAGATCCGCGCCACCCGCGCAAACGACGGCAAACCCCCCTCCTTCCCCGTCCTCGTCGCCATGGCCTCGGCCGCGGGCTTCGTCGGCGGCATCTCGGGAAACGCCGCCGACGTCCTCAACGTCCGCATGCAGCAGGACGCCGCCCTCCCCGCCGCCGAGCGCCGCAACTACAGCCACGCCCTCGAGGGCATGCTCCGCATGGCGCGAGAGGAAGGCATCATGAGCTGGTTCAGGGGCGTCCTCCCCAACAGCATGCGCGCTGCGGCCATGACGGCCTCGCAGCTCGCGTCGTACGATACCTTCAAGGGTATGCTCATCCGCCACACGCCCATGGGGGATAACCTGACGACGCACTTTACGGCCTCGTTCCTCGCTGGTGTGATGGCCGCCACGGTGACGAGCCCCATTGATGTCATCAAGACGCGGGTCATGTCGGCGAGCACCCAGGAGGGGCTGGCGCATACCCTGGCCAAGATTTACAAGGCTGAGGGCCTTGGGTGGATGTTCAAGGGCTGGGTGCCCAGTTTCCTCCGCCTCGGACCGTACGTTCTTGTCCCTCTCCCCGCTTGCTTGCGTGATGGACATCTTGTATACACTTTACTAACCCCCGCCTAGACAAACAATCTGTACATTTGTCTTCCTAGAGATGCACCGCAAGGTCTATAGAAAGGTTGCTGATATCGGCAACGGTGAAGATGCGTCCATCAAGGGATAATAGACACACAAAAAAGGCTTGTGTTGTGTTATAGAATGAGCGTTAAATACCTAGATAGACTGGCGCTGCATTATCATCACTAGTACCGTCTTGGCATGTTTGGAGGCGTTGGAAAAAGAGGCAACTCTGCTGCATTTGACAGGAGTAATGGAGGGTATACACAGGAAAGAAAGATATGGTTGATTTTCTTTGCAGCAATTTCATGTTCGCTTCGTGTGAGGTTTGTGTGTGAGTTGTATTACAGATGTCCGGTAGAAGAGCTGCCTTCTCAGCCGAAATCGAATCCCGCCCACCTCTCTTTGCCCGAGTGTTTGACAGGCTGTTATCTTATTTTACGATTGCTCTACCGCCGTCGTCCCCTGTCACGGGTGTCTATAAGCCAAGCCATAAGCCAAGCCAGTCTGAGTTCAGGTCTAACCGTCAGAACGCTGAGAAGCCTACCCCTTCTTGCCGCTGCGGAGTGCATCTTGTTGTGCGTATTGATTCCGTTTCGCGCGTCATCAGGCAAACTCCACCTCCACCGAGCTGAATCAACGTAGCCAGCTGATGGCCAAGCTAGCTTCTTTGCAAAAATTCGCAAACTCCATTACCACCCCCATGTCTCAAAGTGGTTTTCATACATGAACGCCTTTTTATGATTTCGTGTTCGTTGTTCTCTCTCAGTTCCATCCAGACTGTCCGGAGGCGCCGTAAGGTGTCGTTGTGGTGTAGGGTGTCGTTGCGTTGCCTCCCCACGCGGTCTGGTTGCCGCCATTGAAAGGAGTGGTATAGCCTTGATCTTGCCAGGGGTTGCCGCCGTCCATATCCAAGTTGGGACTGCGAGGTCCATCAAAGTCGCCCATGCCATCGTCGTCTGCCTCGCCTGTGAGGATGTGGAGCGTGAGGGCCAACTTCTCCTGCAAGATCTTGATTCCTTCCTGGATAATCTGATCCGGCTCCAGACTGCCCACGCCTTCGACCTCAAAGTAAAACTTGCCGGGAACTGCGTCGTAGTCGAAAGCTTCGCCCTCTTGTGGGGGGTCCTCCATCTTGGCATATTTGCTCTCGGGCCTTTGCTACCATTAGCGACTCTCATCTTTCAAGGAATATGTCAATCCAGTCACTCACCATTCGGCCTTCGCATCTTCTTCGAACCACATGTCCAGATGGTGTAGCTTGTTGTGAGGGTCGTATTCGAACCCAACAGCAGACGTTGGCATCCATTTTGCATGCTCCTTTGCAATACCCTTCTTCGCGATGCATGATACCTTAAGCTCCTGCCCTTTGCGCAGCTTCGCAATCAAAGAGCCTTGTCCTTCAGGGTCGAGGATTACAGGGTTTCCTACGGTGCCGTTCTGTCTGAAGCTGTCGACAATGAGGTCGCTAGCGTAGACTTTCATGGTCTCGTCTGATGAGCATCGCGCATGCAGCGTAAGCTTTACGCTGCAGTTGTCGCAATACTGCTCGCAGTCGCAGTCTCGGGTGTAAAGCAAGCTGTTGACGTCCTTGGACTGGAGGGGAATCAGACCCAGGCGATGGGCAATGAACTCGTCAGCGAGGACAGATGTGTTGGCCTCGATTTCGACGAGGTCGATGGCGATCACAGGGACTTCAGCCTGGATAACGCGACGCAGCGAGTTGGCGAAGGAAAGGTCGCAGTTCGAGAGATCAAAGTTGACGTGGATGTTATCAGCCTAATGATGCGCCGGGCTGTCAGTTTGAAATGCCACTAGCAAGTGGATTTTGGGAAATAATACCCCTGAGATCTTGATCGATGGTCCTCCGGACTCGCCATCCAATAGCATCGGCTCGTAATCCATCGCGCCGCCGTTCCCCTTTCAGTTATAGCTCGGCCAAAGGTTCTGAGATGCAATCCGGATGATAGTGCGGCAAACGTGTTCAATTTCGTATGTACGTGAAGCAAGAGCGCCTTGGCAATCGTAATTATCGTGGGTCGCAGGTGGACTGAATGGTGGAAGATGGCAATTGTGTCACGGTGGAGGGGAGGCTGAATGGATATTTTTGCGACCAGAGCCAGAGTGAACCCTGCCGCCTCAGGTGCCACTGAATTACCAATTGGAAGGTGCGGCGACTGTGCCTGGCGCCTGCTGAGAACGCGTTGGCATTGCCTTGGCACTAGTGTTATCGATAAAGCTCTGAGCGGTCCCTCGATTCATCCGCCCCCGGATGGAGCTGTCTGGAATCTTATGATTGGGCGCGAACTTTCCCGCATGGCCGGGGGGTCAAGGGACGGCAATTCGTCACTTGGGGCCATTCCGATAAAATTTCATTTTCTTCTAAAAGCTTCTCCGTACACGCGACCAGTCCCTACATCGCCTCCTCGATTCCAACCACGTTTTCGCCCGCCCGAGTCTTTTACACAACACCACAACCGCCACAATGTTCAGACAAGCCATTGCTACCTCTTCCCGCGCAGTGCGCACCGGCATGCGCACCCAGACTCCCAAGTCTGTTTTCCAAAATCAGTTCCAGAGCTCCCCTGCCTTCAGGATACGAGCCGCGCAACCCGCCGTTGCGAGATGGTACAGCGACGCCAAGGAGACGACCGAGGCCACCAAGGAGGGCGAGAAGCCTGCCGATGATGCCGAGTCTGCCCTGAAGAAGCAGTTGGAGACCAAGGAGAAGGAGGCTGCTGACTGGAAGGTTCGTTCGCTTTCTGTCCCCCGATCTCGGACACCGAGGATCGAGACCCAATCCTAACATGCAGCTCTCCAGGACAAGTGCCTTCGCACCATCGCCGACTTCCGTAACCTCCAGGACCGCACACAACGCGAGGTCAAGCAGGCGCGCGACTTCGCCCTGCAGAAGTTCTCCAAGGATCTCATTGACAGCATCGACAACCTCGACCGCGCCCTCTCCATGGTGCCCCAGGAGAAGCTCAAGGTCGAGGAGAAGTCGGGCGATCTCAAGGACCTCGCCAACCTGTACGAGGGTCTCAAGATGACCGACGACATCCTCATGTCGACGCTGAAGAAGCACGGCATCGAGCGCTTCGACCCCGAGGGCGAGAAGTTCAACCCCAACGAGCACGACGCCACCTTCATGGCACCTCAGCCCGACAAGGAGGACAACACCGTCTTCCACGTCCAGCAGAAGGGCTTCAAGCTCAACGGCCGCGTGATGCGCGCTGCCAAGGTCGGCGTCGTCAAGAACGCTTAAGAGGCCGATGTCTCGACATCCTACATCACAATTCCGATCTCTACGAAGATCTTGTTCTAAAAACTCATGGGGCTGGTCGGCTCACCGCTGGAGGCGTCGGCAATTTACCAGCCCCCCTTGTACCATTATGTTCTACGATATTCTCTCGATTCCCGGAACAGCGAACTGGGCGTTCCGGTCGGTGTATAATGCTCCTCTCATGATGTGACAATAGCATGGCGGAAAAAAATGTAAGGGGGCCGCAAATGGGAAGGCCTTTTTGCTGGATGAAAAGAAGAAACGGATAGAATCTGGATACGTTTGTGTATACATAGACCCCGAATAGGGGTTTCGGGGTCTAATGATTCTTCTCAAAGCTCTGGTACAATTTAATCATACCGCCTAGGGGATTTCAATCTCCCTGTGTCTTAATCACACGGACAATCACATCCCGGTCTTTGCAATCACAACCGATTAAGGTTGAACGTAATATTTTGGCACTACCTATTTCCACTAACAATGTCGTAAGGCCGCACTCGGCTCCTAGGCCAATCCAACATCTTCCAGTAATCTCGACATAGAGCATCGTACTCAAACAATGGACACATCATGACCCAAATTATCGTTCGTAGAAGGCAATCTGGAAAAGGGGGACAAGATCGGAAGAGTTCGTCAAGAACTGTGCGTTCCCCCAACCTGCGACGTGGTGTTAGTCAATGGTCCCACTCGACACTGATGACGGTAGCTTGGCAGTACCTAATTGTTTGCTCATAACAAACTTGTCAAAAGACTGAGAGGCCAGGACTCGAAGATCCAAAGCCATCATAGTTGTCGAGAAAAGTCGAGTCGTCACCGATCGCCCCAGCCATATAGCTTTGTCCTGGTATTCTCGTGAGCCCGGTGAACTCACCACAATCCAAATCCTAGAACTTATCCATCAGCAACAGGCAATAAAGAGCCTTGCTGAATATAGCAATGTAGAAGCGAGAATGTCACAAGAACAGCCGACTGTGTCATAGTCCAGTTCCCACTGCAAACTCATTCCAGATTTCAACCAGAAAGGTCCAAGGCCGCCATCTTATCCCGGAAGTTCTGCGAGACAGCCCGGCGAACCTCATCGGGACTCGACAAGTTGGCTCTCGAGCACTCTTCCATGATACGGGTCTTGCAACGAACCAGCTCCTTCTTCATCTTCTCATTCTCATCCTCGGCGTCCTTGAGGGAGTGGAACTTGGCCTGAACCTCGTACCGCAAGTCGTGCAAGTGCGCAGACACACGGCGCAACACCCGCTTCTCATGCTTCTGGCGCTTGGCGAGCTCCTCGGCCGCCTTCCTCTCCTCTTCGGCGCGTTCCTCAGCAGCTTTACGCTCTCGCTCAGCAACCTCCTCGGCGGCCTTGCGTTCCTTCTCGGCGAGCTCTTCCGCTGCGATTCTCTCCTTCTCAGCACGCTCCCACGCGGCCTTGCGCTCCCAGGCCTCTCTGAGCTCCCGCGCTGCACGCTCGCGATCGGCGCGTTCTTGGGCGGCCCTCTGCGCCAGGACGTGGTCGACAGACAGGCGCATCTCGCGAAGCTCCTTCTGGGCTTGACCGACGTCGACGCGCAGGACGGCGTTCTCGCGGGTGACCTCCTCGTCTCGGGTTTTCCAGCGGAGGATGGTCTTCTGGCGCTGCGTGATGAGTTCGGCCGCGCTCGTCGCCTCGACGCCGGCGACCTTGCGAGCACCGGGGGTGTTGAGGATCGTCTCGATGTCGGAGTGGGTGTAGTGCTGGGCCCAGGGGCCGCTGGGCTCGGTAGTGGTGGTCGAATCCTCAGTGGCAGCTTTGGGAGGCGCGATCGGGGGGTCGCCTTGTTCATGATACTCAATCTTGCGGAAGTTGCGTGCGACTTCGGGGTTCATGCGATCGAAGAGGCCGAACCACCAGTTGCGCATCTTGTGCTGGAAGGTCACGCCTATGCTAGAGTCAGTGTCTTTATACCTTTGAGAGGGTCATTGCTGTGCTTGTTACCAGCAGGCAGGTAGATGATGGAAGGTTCGGAGTCAAGAGAGTAGCAGGGCGTGAGATAGCCATTGTCGTTGATGTCTCTCTGGGTCTCGAACTCCATGAGGAGACGGTCAGGGGCTTTCTCTTTAGGAGGGCCATCGTCCATGGAAGTCTCGGGACGCATACGCTGAGCCTAAAACCTATTCAGCCATGGGTTGCTTAGAACGAAGATGCAGTAAAACTTACATCATCGGCCATGAAGACCTTTCCGTCAGTGTTCTGCTCAGCACATCCCTCGGCCAGAAGGCGGAAAGTACAAGGGGAGATTCTTCCAGTCTCGGGATCACCCTCGTCGTCCGAGATACCGTAGTCCTCGACTAGCATGTGTCAGTATTGGTGCGAATTATGACTTGAGCCAGACTTACCAAAGTTGCGGTCCGGGTCGTAAGGCAGTTTGTAGGGGAGCAGCCCCTTGAAAGAGGACTCAGGGGTCTTGGTGATCGGAGGGAGGTAATCTTCGAATCTGAAATCTTCGAAATCGGGCGCGATGTGGAGATATTTGGGGCGAGGGACATTGTAGGCTCCCTTCCTGTCCGCAGTATCCGGGGCGTACTCAGCAGACAACAGGTGGGTGTCATCGAGCATCCTAGACACAGTCCGTCATCAGGCCGAACGAAGCAACTGGTCACACGAAAACTCACTTGACGTAGTCATCCTTCTCTCGCTTCACATCAGCCCTCAAGCCCGAAGTCGCGGCTCCCTTGATAGGAGATGGCTGCGTCTTGGAAGTACTGGTAGAATTGTGGTTAGGATGATGACGAGTAGGAGGGCACATCCTCGGACGGAGACTCACTTCTGGGGTTCGCCGCATGCAAAGCCGCCACCGTCGACAGCCCTTTCCTTTCCCTTGCCCTCAGGCTTCTCGTCGTGCTCGCTGCGAGCGAAGCCGCCGCCATCGGCAGCTCTTCCTTTTCCCTTGACGTCTGGCTTCTCATCATGTTGGCAAGAAGGGCCGTCAACCGCAACCTTGGTAGCATCTCTCTTCGCTCTTAGAGCAGACTCAAAAGCCTTCACCTCCATCCAAGATCGCAGCGGGTCGTTCGCATCCCGCATGGAGCCGCGTACAGCATCGTAGGCCTTCATCATGGAGTCTGTCATGAACCACTCCTTCGCGAAAGGGTGACCGGCCGAGCAGCCAGGGAGCTGAGGGCTAGGCTCATCGGCACCGTAGTCGACCAGCTTGCTTTGAAAGATGGACCAGTCCTTGGTCGTGGGGATTCCTTCTATCTTGATGCTGGGATCAGGAACTAGGATAAGTCGGTTAGTTACGACATTCATATGAGGGAAAGAGCTAACAGAAAATTCTACGAGGCCCAGGCAGGGAGTAGGTAGATGATGTCAGTAAGAGCAGAAAGGTATCTCATTCAAACCAGAATGTGCTATCTAAGACCCTAGTGGAAGCAGCAGAGCAACGCGGAGCACTTGATACCTTCATGGACCGAACGCGAGTACGACTCCGAATCGGTGCTGATGCTCACTTCCCAGAGGTTGACACCGGCGTAGCGGGCATGGTCAAAAGCGACCGTCTCCGGGCCTGTGTTCAAGAAGTTAGAGAAAGCGTTGAGAAGATGACAATTCAAAGACTCACTCGAAGAACGGTTGAACTCGTGCAAGTTGTTGTCTTGCTCCCAGTTGCCGTACAAGACCGTGTCGTGGGTGAGGGCTCCATTGTCCTGGCCGTGGGGTCCGACATTGGAGTTCATCATCTCGAACTCGTCGAGATCGTAGATGTCCTCGTGGTCTTCACTGAGGAAGCCCTGTTCATCGTACATGTTGGCAGAGTAGATGTCGTGGGACGACTCGCGCGACTCGCGAGACGCCTCTTCGATGATAGAAAGGCGATGGGGATTGTGAGCTTCGAGGGTACCCGCGGTGTCGATATTGTTTGCTATTTTTTTTTTCGTCAGGAATATGGTTCGTACTTGCGCTGAAAGCAGCCCAAAGATCGATGAGCAGGTCGGATGACTTACCAGACTTGGAGCGCGAGTGCTGGCCGCGGTCACGTCGAGAGGACATTCTCGATAGGCGCTTAAGAGTAGTGAAGCTCTTTGACTTCTTGAGAGAGAAGGCTGCCTTCGATACCAGACCTGCGGTGAAGATAATGAGCAACTGTGAAGCGATGAAAAAATGTTGGTAACGAGGATCCGAGTATGGGAAGGGGAGGCAATCAGGTGTTCTCGAGTATTTCCGAAGAAACAAACGCCTCAAACACTCGAGATTGGAAGATGGATGAAGCTCAGCAGGACTCGATGGGAAGAAAAGAGAGGAAGGATCGGAAAATGAATGAACAGAGGGTGGTTGAGGCGAGAGATCGTGAGATCAGGAAGGCAAAGCGTCGAGGGTTGGAGGAGATGTTCACCCTTCAAGGCCTTTGCGGCAATCCAGAACGTCTTCTTGGACCCGGGCTTCTTTTGATCCTTCTCATTCATCATCTTGAAGCTTGAAGCCCCTCCGACGGCTAAGCGGGATGATCCAAAGCGCTCGACATCATGGACGGCCGGTTGGACGTAAGCGTTGTAACTGATAGGAATCATTTGATGTGGCGGACTGCGCAACGAACATTTTGGATTAGCTTCGTGCTTTTGGAAGGCGAGGTAACAAATCGAAGCCATCAAGAGGTACTCACTTCGAACTTGGAATGCTGAAAAATGAGGGACTCGGAGCTTGGTTAGGTGCCTTTCAAGTTTTGTGTATGATTGACATAACCCCTTGTACTGATGGTGATGGGTGTGTTCGGGGGATTCTGGCAAAGGTTCAAGAACAACCCATTTTGGCAGGAAGCTCTCCTTAAGGATTCACTGGCCATGGATGGGTTGCACAAAACCGTTGTCTACCAAACACTCGCAGTTGCCTTTCATGAAGATGTCAAAATGCAGCTGTCATTCTCAAGTCTGGTTCCTCACATATTAACTTACACAGACGTTGTCGCTCACACCACTTTACACTGATTACCTTTCATGATGTACAACCCTCAAATCATTTTGTGATTGGTTAACGACTTCATACAATATCTAGCCGCTGATCAAAGGTGTTCAAAGAACAGTAGGTATTCCTGATTTAAACCTCATAATTCTACAATTGCCATGGATGCCTCACTCGAACTCAGTGAACACTGGCGTTCTCCTCCCATGATAAAAGGTGCCCCTAGATTGATATCTGTCGACCATTATGCCATTACTTCTTGCCCTTTCCCTTGGCAGTCGTTGCCTTGGCCTTGGGCCTACCCTTCTTAGGCTTGGCATCTGCATCTTCATCGTCATCATCATCGCCTGCTTTGGCCTTCTTCGTTGCTCTCTTAGCCTTCGGTTTGGGCGCCTTGATTAGCTTGTCCTTCTTCAAGTCAATCTTGTCCTCGTCCTCCTCGCCCGCATCGGCAGGTTCTGCAACATCGGCATCATCGTCCTCCTCAATAGCTTCTTCGAGATCCGGAGCCTCCTTCGCCACCTTCTTGGGCTCCATGATATTGCTGGCCTTCAAGAAAGGGATAGGATGAGACATTGCGTTGTAGCTGGAGAGTTGTTAGCGCTAAGAAGGAATAGCAAGAAGCACGAGTACTTACGTTCGCGTGAATGCCGCTTTTGTCTTGGATTCGATATCAGCCCGGCCCTCAGCTTGCGGACCAACGCCGAGCTCCTGAATCGCATCGAAGTCGTCTCGTGTCAAGTAGTAGCTGTCCATCAGCTCGATAATCTCGTCGACAGATTCCTTGCCTTCGACGGACAACCGGCGTATCATCTGATCCCACAAGACAGGCAGATATTGCTGGCGAACCTCATTGGCGTCTCCAGATGACCTCAACCGCATGTGTGAGTGTAGCTCACGGACAAATCGACCGAGTTTGCCAGTCTTGCTGTTGTTGCCGAGCCAGGAGGTGAAGTTGGAGCCCATGAGCTGGCCAGCAACGAAGCTCGATGGTCGAACCGTGCTGAAAACGGCGTGAGTAGGCATGAGACTCCATTGCTGTTGAGGCCCGTGAATCATTCGATCAACCAGATCACCATCGCTGATGCTCTCCGCCGCCTGATCTATCAATTCGAGGTACTTCAGGTTCTCTTCCCTCTTGTTGTAACCTCTGTTGTTAAGTGCCATTGGCTTTGAGCGCAGGTAGTTTTCCTGAATCATCAGGTAACTGAACTCGTGGTCGTTGAAGTATAGCTCGATCTTTTCATTCAAAGTAGTTTTGCTGGCGGGAGCGAACAGACCACCAGCGAGCATCTTCTGGCAAATATCCCAAGGCTTGAGAACGACGTGTTTCTCCCATGCCTTGGTCATTGCCTTGCCCTTGTCGTAGCTCATCGATGCTTGGTCGAGCTTGGCGGTGGAGATCATGTTGATGATTTGCCGAATATCCTTGTTGCTGCCTTCGATGAGGGCATCGACAACGGGCACAGGTAGCTTGAGGCCTTCGCGATGACATATTGTCATGATACGGGACCGGACCTGTTCTACCGTCGGGCGCCTGAAGGGAACATCCATGGCGACGAAGTCAAATGGCTTCATCTTTGGCAGTTTCCGCTCATTGCAAATGAGAATGAGGGGAATCTCGGTCTTTTTGCAGAACTTAGCCAGGGCTCCAACACCACCACGATCTCCTGCGGACATTCCGTCGACCTCGTCCATAATTAACACAATGTTCTTCTTTTCTCCGTCAACCTTTTTGCCGTCTCCAGCAAAGAAGCCGAGAAGCGATGTGTTGTTCATGATATCAGCGACACCATTTTCGACTAATTTCTTACTGCGAGTGTCACTGGCGTTGCTCTCAATGACATCGAAGCCCTCGAGTTTGGCAGCCAAGTGTGCTGCAGTCGTCTTGCCGATGCCGGGCGGACCAGAGATTATGATAGCTCGCGTGCCACCCATACCGTCTGCGCCGCGCCGTTGAAAGTCGTACTTGCGTGCCTTTTGCCAATTCCTCAACCAAGCCTGGATCTTCTCGACCTGCGCCTTGTTGCCGCAGATATGATTGAGTGCCGTCGGCGCATACTTTGATGTCCAAAGCTGCACTGGAGCTGCTGTCGGGGTAGGGGCAACTGTAGTCCCCCGAGCGGCGGCTGCTTGCTTGGCTGCCTTCTCTGCTGCAGCCTTCCGGGCCTTCTCTTCTCGCTCCATCTCCATTGCCTGGATCTTGATAGCCTCCTCGTCTTTCTTCTTCTTCTCGCGCGCCTTCTCGGCACCCTTGCCGGAGCCGCCATAGGCAGGCAATTTCCTGATGAGTTCGAACAGGCCCTCCTCGTTGATGGTTTTGATGTTCATGTCCCTGATCTTCTTCAGCTTACTGGGTCCTGCATCGTCTCCCAGGACGACATAGCTGGTCTTGCTACTTGGTGCTCCAGTAATTTTGCCACCGTACTTCTTGACCAACGCCTGACCTTCCTCACGGCCGATGGTTTGAAGGACACCGGTGAAGACGAATGTCAATCCAGAGAGACATTCATCCTCGCCATCGGGCAGTTCCGCGGCACCTGCATTAGCAGGCACAGCCGCGCTGTTTCCTCCACCACCGGCATTCTTCCTCCAGTCAAATTTTGGGGCATTTGGGTCCTGGGGTGGAGGTGTCGGAGGGCGGACAGTGGGGATGTTGTCGAGGATCGACTGATAAGCCGAATCTTCAGGTTCGTCTGCCTTTTTAGCCCTGGGAGGGCGTGGCTTAGCGGGCGCCTTCTTTTTGGGCGGCTGCTCTTCCTCCTCTTCCTCCTCGTCCTCGTCAGGAGTCTTGCGCCTCTTTGTGCCAGCTGCTGCCCTTGTGCTCTTGCTTGGGGTGCCATTGGCGGCACTCCGCGAGGCTACACGCTTCGGTTTTGGTTGTATATCCTCGTCGCTCTCGTCCTCCGCATAGTCGTCGGTCTTTCGCTTGTTGCGACCCTTCACATCAGCAGCAAAGATGTCATCCTCATCCTCATCGTCTTCGTCTTTGTAAGCATCGGCATCGTCGTCGGACTCGATCTTGGTGTATGTCCTGGCGGCGCGCTTCTTGGGCGTTACTTCTACAGGTTTCGCAGTAGTCTTCTTGTTGCGTGGGCTGGTCCTGATCTCGACTTCGGTCTTCACTTTAGTTGCTTGGTCTGGCTTTGCGGCGGGTGCAGGCTTAGCCGCCTTGGAAGATTTGGATGATGCAAAGTAGTCGCTGGCTGTGGTCTCGGTTCCCTTAGCAGCCTCGTCTCTGCTACAGAATTAGAAGCAATCGACGAAGAGGGCAATATAGTTCGCGTACTTAGCCTTCTTCCTGACAGCAGCTTTCGCTGCCGGTTTTCTAGGACGAGTTAGCTTAGTCTTCAAGTACAGGGTTTTGGAATCGACTAACGGCGCAGGAGTAGGGTCGGCATCATCGTCGCTGTCCTCGATGACTTTCCTGCCCCTTCGGGCCTTTGGGGGCTCCTCGACCTTTTTTGGCAAGGGCTTCGGGGGCCCGCCTCCCTTCGGCCCAAAGAATGACCTAATATCAGGCATTGCGTTTTGTACAGTCACCTGTCTTCCGTTGAGTGATTGTTGAAAGCAGCGAAAAGTTTATATCGAAAGTTGGCCTACTGTTGCCTGGAGGGAAGTTGGAGGTTGACAGACGAAAAGACCAATCGAGGTCGCCGTGCCTGGCGTCAAGTCGGGAAGCGTGCACGTAATGGATTTCCAGTTGCTACGCGAAAGTGACGCGAGGTCCGTGACCCCGGTCAGTTCACTTTAGAGTGCATGTGGCGCAGCAGCTCCAGGCAAAGCCTCAGCAAAATTATCGCCCAACATCTCAGGCCATCCAAGCCACACCTAAGCTCTCGTGAAGCTAGGGACATTTTTTTGGAGATCGCATCATCAACGACGTTCATCGGCAAGTCGCAAACATGAGGCCCACCGCTCCTACGGCGCTTCTCAGCGCCTTCCAAGGCCTCAGAATATCTACGACGCCGACAGTCAGTCCTCTTAGGGCCGCGATCCGACCTCAATTGACAAAGCCGCTGGTCGCATCCCAGATCCTCCGCGATGCCCGCCCGTTTTCCACGACACCTGCAGCGCAGGGCACATGGCTCGAACCCTCGATCGACCGAACGAAGAAGATGATGAAAGGACGTCCTCGCGTGGCTACGGGAGGATCGACCAAGGGCACGACTGTCATCTGGGGCGACTACGGTCTCCGAATGAAGGATCACCACCGAAGAATCAGCGCCAAGCAGCTCAAGAACGCTGAAGATACGATTAAGATGAGATTACGTGGTCAAAAGTACCGACTGTACAAGAGAGTGTGCTGCAACGTTGGTGTCTATGTGTCTGGTAACGAGGTAAGGCGGATGTTGAGGAATTATGGGCGATAGTCAAGTGCTGATTCCCGGACTAGATGCGTATGGGTAAGGGAAAGGGTTCTTTCGATCATTGGGCGGCGCGTGTTGCTGTCAACCAGATCGTTTTCGAGATCAGAGGAATGCTTCACGAGGCTGTTGCAAAGGATGCCTTCCGTCTGGCGGGTAACAAGTTGCCCGGTGAGTACATTCCCAATTGCGTGAAGCACAGCCAAGACTGACTTAATGCTAGGTCAATGGGAGTTTGTACACAA